TCTCTGCTCTTTTCTCTCTCTCTTTCTCTCTCTCTCTCTCTTTCTAGCTTGGAATGGGGGTGGGGGGAAACGAGTAAGTTGGCAGAGAGATAAGATTCATCAATATTTAATTTTTATGGAAATCATGTCCTAGAAATCCCCAAGGGGCTGAAAATTGTTCTGTGTTTTCAGAAGCCAGTGATGTCGCTGAAGCGGTTACATTGTAAATAAAACCACATTACTGTCTGCAGCTCTCCTGTTGCTCTGCAAACACCCAGAAACTTGACAGTTTAATCCACTCAAGGCAGCAGAAAGGTTCGCATTGTCACTTGGCGGGGGCAGCCCATCCCCAGCCCTGGGATACAGGATTGTGAGCCATCAAAGTCTGTGGCGCTGTCACAGCAGGAGGCATGCGGAGCCAGCCGCCCTTAGCAGAATTATCACATTGGTGAAATTTTTTCCTCTCAACAGGATTCCCAGGAGAGCTGACTCCCTGGGGTTCCTGATGTCAGGTAGGGTTGCTTAGATGTAGATGCCCAGATGACTCATGTGACCCACAGATGACTCATACCCAAGTCATTCCATTGACTTTTGGGGGAATTGGAATCTGGAAAGAATGTTTATTCAGTCATTCATTTGTTCACTGGTTCTTCCATCAAATATTCCTTAAGCATCCACCACATTCTAGATACTGTTTTAGGTACTGGGAATGCAGTAAAGCACCCCAGATCTCTGCTTATAAATTCTCATGGAAAGAGGCAGACAATAAACCAGGTAAATAATTAAAATAGATAGTATGCTGAATGGTGGTAAGTGCAGTGGAGTAAAATGAAGGGGGAACCTTAGGTATTTGTCCACAAGAAGTGAAAATATTTATCTATTTGTACAAGAATTTCACAGCAGCTTTGCTTGTTTGTCATAGCTAAAAAGCCGAAATAGCCCCGATATCCATAAAGACAGTAAATCTGCCAATTCACTCATGAACTACTATGCAGCCATAGAAAGGAACAGCCTGTGTACATGTGAAACAACAGGGATGGATTTAACAAATATTTTCTTGAATGAAAGAGATCCAGGACAAAAAATATATGCTGAATGATTCTCTTTATAGGTCATTCTAGAATAATAAACTAATCTGTGGTAAGAGAAATGACAATATCTTTTGTTTGGAGAGCAAGAGGGAAGCCGGGGAAAGGACTAATTTCTGATGTGAGAGAAATGTTGTGTGTTCTCTTCCGCATTCATCTCAACCCACTGAGTGTAGTACTAGGGTCTGAACATTTCATGGCAATGAGTATTACCTCAGTCAAACAAAATTAGAAAGCGCAGTAAGGGAATAGAGTGTATTGGTGAAGGTGAGAGTGATGTTGTAACCTGAAATGGGCAGGCCTCATGGAGGAGATAACTTGAGGAAAGTGAGTGAGGGTGTCTGAGGGAAGAGCATTCCAAGCAGGGGGAGCAACATGTGCAAAGGTCCTGAGGTAGAAATGTGACTACAGTGGCCAAAAACCAGTAAGAAAGCTGATGTATTAGTTTACCCAGGCTGCACAGGTATATATGACCTATACATAACAAAGTACCACAGACTGGGGGGTCTTAAACAGCAGAGATTCGTTTTCTCACAGATCTGGAGAGCAAGGTGTCAGAAGGGTTGGCTTCTTCTGAGGCCTCTCCGTGTCTTTGCAGACACCGACCTTCTCCATGGTGGCCCTTCCTTGCTCTGTGTGTCTCTGTGTCCTAGTATCTTCTTATAAGGACACCAGTCATGTTAGATTAGAGCCCACCCTGGTGGCCCCATTTTAACTTACTTCTTTGAAGACCCTGTGTCCACATACAGACACATTCTGAGGTATGAGGGTTGGGGCATATGGATCTGAGGGGACACGGCTCAGTCCATCACAGTGGTGTGGACACCAACAGATGGCTTTGGCCTGGTGCTCCCGCTGTGGATGCAGTCTGCTTATCTCCACTGCCTGCTGTGATATAGGTGTGGATCTAGGATGAGGGCCTTTGGCAGAGAATGGATGGCCTTGGTAGAGGCCGGAGGTTGCAATTCTCGTGATGTCTTTTCACTAACTCACGTCAGCAGGAGAACTTGCTTCCAGAAAGCTGGCAGTGTCCTGATCAAGGGTCAGGACGCAGATTTTGCTTGCTATTGAGAAACGACATGGGGACCCTGGGTGGCTGGATGTTGATGAGCTGGTTGCCCCCCCCCCCATCCCCTCACTCCCACGTCCAGTGGCCTGGGCTCTGCACCTGGTGGAGGGTGGGTAGTGGCCAGTGCTGGATGTCACTGCAGCTCTGACAGGCAGCTGTGGGTGTAGGTGCTTCCAAGGCCAGGGCCTCATTGTGGCCACTGGGTCTTCAGAGCAGTTCTTTTCTTTCTGTGACTGATCAAGACTAAGGCGTCACAAGCACTAATTAGGGGGAAGGGCTTCAGCCCTTTGCTTGACCCTGAGCTTCTGGGGCCTGTGAGAATAGCCAAGGTGAGGAAGTTTAGGAAATAATGTCTCAGGTACAAACTCTGCATGTCAGCCTCTGTTGCAATTAAAGGTCTTAAGAGATGAGAAAAGAGAGGAGTCCCTGCTGTGTTCAGGCACCAGGCTGGGCCTTTTCTTGCATTCTCTTTCTCCCTTTGTTCTGATGCTCCATGAGGTGGGTTTTGCCTCCGTGTCCCACATAAGGAAGTCGAGGCTCAGAGCGGGCAGTTACTTGGCGAGTTCTCACCAATATCGAGGATCTGCACTGGGATTTGAGTCCAGATCTTCTGGATAATCAAGCTGGTGCTTTATCTCCTACATGGTGCTTCCTCTCCTACATGGTGCTTCCTCCCAGTCTCTCTGGACATGAAACCCAGGGACTCCCAGAGCAGCTGCCTCCCCAAATCTCTCCTTGGAGAGATTCTCAAGTCAGGCCTCTCCCAGGAAAGGCAGAGGGGCCAGATGTTCTAGCCTCACCGCCCCTCAGGGTAGACTGAGGGAGGCCAGCAAGAGAACTCGAACGAGATACCCTGACTCCTCTAGGCAGGCCGACTCATAGGGCGTGTCCATGTTACAGAGGGAGGCACTGAGGTTCCAGAAGGGGAAGTGACTTGCTTATGGTTCCATAGACTGTTTAAGAGAGTTTCAATTCAGAAGGGAGTTCTGAGATGTTGAAGCCAAGAATGCAGTGGGATGGTGTGTGTGGAGGGGTATGTGTGTGTGTGCATATTGGGGTGTATGTACAGGGATGTGTTAGGTATGTCTGGGTATATGTAGGGGTATGTAGGGATGTATGTAGGAGTGTGGGGGGGATGTATAGGGGCATGGGGTCCATGTGGGAGTGTGTGTAGGGCCTTGTGTAAGGATGTGGGGGACATGTTAGGAGTGGGGGGGTGTATAGGGATGTATGTAGGAGTGTGTAGGGGGGTGGGTAGGTGTTTATAGGGGTGTGCAGTATGAACATCATGAAAGCATCCTCATCCTGTCCTGTGTGAGCTCAGCCCTGGGAGGGCAGTGGGCATGGGCCCTGGAGAAATTCCTGGCAGAGGTAAAGAGGCCTCTAAGCCTTGAAGGAGGACACAGGAAATGGAAGGGGCTCCGAGGGGCTGCTGGGTGGGAGGGGCCCAGCCTGTGCTGCCAGGGAGCCCTATCCCAGCAGTGTTCAGCACTGTCCCTCCGCTCCCTCCGTGGCACCCCCACAGGTCTGCATCCCCTCCATGGCTGGGCCACTGGGCCCTGATCTAACCTCTGTTCTGAGTGCTCAGAACCTTGGCTTGGCCAAACCATGATCAAGCAGCTCTATTTATTGTCTTTTGTTTATTTGCTTATTTATGAGATTTTGCTATGGGCAGAAAATGTAGAGGTTTGGGCACATTTCTCTGAGCTATGAGAAGTTCTCTGAACCTACCACCTCCCTCCCTCAACACTCTCCAGAGGAGACGACTCCTCCTCTCTCTAAGCTCCTTGCATCTCCTGTTTGGCAGATGCAGGGAGGGACAGAGGTGAGGTGGGGCTAAATGTCCTGTCTAATGCCTGTACATAGTAGGTGCTCAAGAAGCATGTGTGGGTAAGGTAGGTGGAGGGCTCATTGAGCATCCTGTACTGATGTTTGGTGTCCATGGGTAAGGAAGTTGGGAAGGCCCGCTCTTCTGTGAAAGCACCTACTGTGTGCCAGGCCCAGGGCTGGACCATTTGGCCATGTCCTATCCAGTCCTCAGACCAAACATGCAAGGAGGATTTTATTACCTTTGTTCAGTGGTCAGTCAGAGTGGCTCAGTGTCTTGCCCAGGCTTACCCAGCCGGAGAACCCAGAGTAGCATGCAGGCCCTCTGGTGACCCAGACCTCTCCAGAGTAAGGTGGGGCCTCCCCTGAGGGGAGTGAGAAATCACATGAGAGACTGCTGAGCTATGAGTGTTTCCCTCACCCCACCTGGACAGGAAGTCCCTGTCAGACGGAGCACTTTTGGGACCCGAGTCTGCTCTTACTCACCCCTCCCATATCAGAGAGGTCTATCTCTGGCCCCTCACCCCAACCTGCCGTGAGACGTTTGGCACAAGGGTTTGGCTGGATCTCTTTGCAGGGAGATGGCTGGCCAGGGGCCCCAGGCCTCAGTTAGGACTCCTTGGTCTGCTGGATAAAGATGTAACACGTTGACCCCCAGCTGCCTCATGTGGACTGCTCTGTCCCCCTCGGATCCACGAGCACGTTTGCTGATGCACATCCCCGGCCTACAGTGCCTGTTCCTCCTGGCACTCTGACCCCCTCCTGATGTCCCTGCAAAACCTAGGCCCTGCTTCCTCCCTTCTCTGCTTGGCTCACCCTTTCAGAGCACTGCTCACACTGCCGTGACTGACTGTCGACTTGTCACCAACCCCTGGGATGCCATGTCCCCTGGTGTTCCCTGAGTTTGGGCACAGAGCCCAGAGATGGGAGGATGACGTCACCTTCTTGAGTCCAAGTTTGCATCTGGTACCTGGGCTGTGGGAGGCATGGCCCTCGCACCTGCCTGAGATACTTCTTTTCCTCTCCCTCCCTGGCAGGAGTTCCCCTTGGCTGTCCTCAGGGGCTGGGAGTGCTACTGTGCTTACCCCACTCCCCAGTTCAACCTGCAAGATGCTGTGGACGGCTCGCTGTGCAGCCAGGAGCCGGAAGCTCAGAGGCTGGCGGAGTACTGTGAGGTCTACCAGACGCCCGTGCAAGGTGAGCTCACCTAGTGGTGGTGGGGTGTACGGTCTTCTCCCTGCCTCCACTGCCAGGTATGGGGTTCGATCTGGTTGGAGGAAGAGGGAGAGAGCAGAGAGGCAGGGTCCAGAGGGCTATTTTGGCAAGGTGGTGGACTTGGGAGGCGCGGAAGCCCTAAGCCAGTCCAGGACTTGGGGACCAGTAAGGCTCCTAGACTATGCCCAGGCCCCACCCTCTTCTTTGTATGAGCATCTGCCCCAGCTGATCCTAGGAAGCAGTGACGGGAATAGCAGAAGCAGAGGAACATTGCCACCTTTATCTAGCGCTGCCATGACCCTGCCCAGCAGCACCCCTTGCAGCAGCCCTGGAGAGACAAGATGCGGCATGAAGAGGTTACGTGGCTGGCATTAGCCCAGCCCTGGAGACTTGCCGTGGCTTGGGTCAGCCCAGCTCCAGCCTCCAGTCCCCTCCCCTGCAGAATCTGGAGTTCTCTGTGCTGTGCTGGAAGTTGGGGTTCCACTGAGGCCATGGAGACAAAGTGGGGCCTAGGGTCAGCGAAATGTCAATCCCAACCCCACTCTCAGGCTGGTGTGGGAAGCCTCCTCGGCAGCAGGGCTTCAGCCATAGAACTGCGCCAAGTGACAGGTGGCAAATCCCTTTCCTTCTTTGGGCCTCAGTTTCCCCATCTATTAAGTGGGCATCTGGGATCAGCAGTTCCCATGGAGGGGATTCCAGTGGTGGTCCAGGAATCAAAGTCAGAATGAGTAATCCTGAGACGAATTCTGAACTTTCAGATACTCGGTGCATAGACAGGAGGTTTCTGCCCACCAAATCCAAAGTGTTTGTGGCATTGTCAAGCTTCCCTGGAGCCGGGAACACCTGGGCACGCCACCTCATTGAGCACGCCACTGGCTTCTATACCGGGAGCTACTATTTTGACGGGACGCTCTACAACAAAGGTGAGTGAGGCTGGGGCTGCCAGCCTGGAGCAGTGCACCTCAAGGTGTGCACCAGGAATCACCGAGAGGGCTTGTCAAAGGGACTGGCCTGGGAACGGACATTTCTAACAAGTACCTGTTGGTGCCAATGCCACCAACCCCAAGCACACCATTCATGAAATAGTGCCTTTTTAAAAAAGATTTATTTCTTTATGCATACAAGAGCTGGGGTATAGACCAGAGGTGTGGGGGGTGAGAGGATTCACCAGAGACAGAGTGGGGAGCAGAACAGGCAGATCTACTGAAATACACTGCTGAGGGGAGCAGCGGGCTAGATAGAGGTCTGCTGCAGCATGTGGGTTAGCTCCTTGGCTGGGGATCGAACTCATGTTGCAGTGACTGGTGACAGCTTGATAGCACTGAGACTTTAACCCCTGTGCCACCAGGGAGGCCCAATATTGCCTGCTTTAAAGAGAGAGCCTAGCAGTTTGGAATCCCTCTCCACAAACTTTACTTGAATTTCTTGAGACCATAATAATTAGGTGAGACTGCCTTAATCTTATAAAAATGTTATTTTTTTTAAATAGGTACAAAACTCTTCAAGAATTTTATGATTTCTAATCTTTCCCTTGTAGAAATAAGAAGCTTCATTATGCCAAGTAAATGAACTTAAATGACTCGAGTCTGGGTGATGTTTAAGAATGAAGAACCTCAGACAAGTCAAGTGGGAATCTAAATTTGGCAAAATGCGTTTCTCCCTTGTCAAGTATTATAGCATTTTCTCTGGATTTCTTAACTAAAGTCTCTTTTAGAAGAAGATGATACTATCAATAATGTCTTAGGGGAATTAGGGACTTTCTGAGCTTGGCAGTGGGTTCTGGAATCACCCACAGCAACCTTGGCCCAGTTGGAAAAAAGCCAGGCTTGCCCGCATAACCCAGTCCATGGTCCCTGGGAGGCCAGAGTGCCATGGGCACCTCCAGGTGAAGTGGTCCTGTCCACTCCAGCCTTGTACCCACTGAGGCCAGGCTGTGGTTACCAACCTTGTCCCTCTTAAAGGCCATTTTCAGGCAACTATATATGTCGAGGTGGGTATAAGGGGTGACACTGCCTCACCCAGGGCAGCTTGGAGCCTTCTAGGGCTGGTTAGATGTAGCCACTGGCCTCAGATCAGTGACACGCATGTGCAAAATCCACAAGGCAGCCGCCATGCTGAAATGCCAAACCTGCCATGGGCAAATATGGCCCAGGTTACGCAGAAAAGTGGCTGCTATTGAACTTGCCTGGGATAGTATGAAAGGTACCCTGGGCCTCCAGCTTGTCAAAGACCAGATCTCAAGTTGACTCAGCAGTGGCTTGACTCTTCCTCTCCTGGAATTCCCAGCTGTGTGACAAAATTAATCAAAGCAGACTTTTGGCCCATGGCAGAGAAGAGTTTGAAACACGTTGAGTTTCAGTGGGTAAACCCAGACTTCCAGATTCAAAAGAGACTTGCATTTTCCAGGCATCAAAGAATCCCCCCGCAGCTTGCTGTAGATATAAATCATTCCCAGCCATCATGAATGGGGGTGGGTGGTGGGAATCATTTTTGCTTCCAAGAGCGCATGATAAACTTGTGAGCTTGTAGGCAATGTGTCCCCAGAGCTGGACGGCGTTGGCAACATGGGGAGTGGACAGAGACTAGGTTCAGGTGACGTCTTTTTCTGACATCCCACTCTGTGCTCGTGCTTGGTCCCCTTCTTCTTTGTTCCCATAAATCTCTTAGTTCTGTATTATATTAGGGCAGTCCACTACTAGAGTATAAGTTTAAAATGGGGGTCTGTCTGTCTCACCCCTTCTTTCCCAATATAAAGCCCAACACAGAATGAGCATACAATGATGTCTGTTGAGAAGTGTGTGACTGTGTGGATGGGTGGGTTTCCATAGATGCAAGACCCGGGGGCTGTTAGGACTATGGCATAAGTTAGAGGGTAGGGCTATAGCTGCTTATTTACAGTTGTGCTGGAGGTGGGGATCCCTCCCTCACTGCAGGGAGGTGGGTAGAAGCCAGAGCCTCATAGGGATGCAAAAAGTCATGAGAAAGTCCTGGCTTGGTTGCTGTGTTGCTGTGTGATCTTAAATAAGTCCCATACCCACTCTCAGCTTCAGTTTCCCCATCCGGCAATCAACATGGTTAACTTACAGGGTTATTTGCAATGCTTGTGTGAAATCACCGTGAAAACACCCACACACTTGTATATGGAGTGTCCAGAGACTGGGCCTGGTAAGACCCTTTACCTCCTGATTTTTGGAGTCTGGAGGTGGTGACTCTCCTCCTTTCTCATGGAGACACCAGCCGTCCTGGATACCTCCTGCTCTTTCTCTGGGGTAGGAGTGAGTCATGTGATGGCCACACCCATCGCCCTCCCTAGGCCTTCCTGGCACCCCATACTGTGCCATCCTTGGGCCTGTCTTACGCCCCCAGTCCCATTTTCACCCAGAGATACACTTCCACATTCAGCCCTGTCTGCCGCCTCAAGACCCCTGTCTCCTCCCCAGGGTTTAAGGGCGAGAAGGACCACTGGCGGAGCCGCCGCACCATCTGTGTGAAGACCCATGAGAGTGGCAGGAAGGAGATTGAGATGTTTGACTCCGCCATCCTGCTGATCCGGAACCCCTACAGATCCCTGGTGGCCGAGTTCAACAGAAAGTGTGCCGGACACCTGGGCTACGCAGCTGACCGCAACTGGAAGAGTAAAGGTGAACACAAGGGGCCCCGTTCCTGTGGGCAGGACATCCATTAGGATGTAGGACCAGCGCCCCCTCGTGGCGCTGCCCCACCTTCCCAGGGCCTTACTGCTGGGCTCCACTCTGCCTCTTCCTAATCCCCTCCCGCTGCACATGTCCTCAAGCCATGGGGGTTTAGGTGGGATTCCCAGCATGTTGCCACAAATCCTTTCTACCCCCATTTAGGGTGAGGTAATCTGCCCCTCTTTCCTACCCCTGCTCCTACCTAGGAGGGGCTGGAGGAAGATCACTGGCTCTGAATGCAGAAAGCCCTAGTTTTGCACCTCCTCTGCCTCCAGGACCAGACTCCTTTATAAACCTCAAGGGAGTCGGGATCAATGAGATCACACATGAGATCACCCGATGAGATCAGTCCGTGTCAGAGCTCATCAGGCCCACCCTAAGCTGCCTCTCACTGACTCTTAACAGCATCCAGTAGGGAACCACAGCAGCCCTGCTTTCCTGATGAACCCAAGAGCTTGACTGTGTGACTTGTCCCGGCTGCCGAGGTGGTGGGTAGCCGAGCCAGGACTCAAACCCAATGCACTAGTCAGCTGGGGCAGCAATAACAAAATGCCAACCTGTGAAATAACAACAGAAACATATTTCTCATATCTCTGGACTGGATAGTCGAGATTAAGGTGCCAGCCAGTTTGGTTCTGGTGGGCACTCTTCTGGCTTGCAGACTGCTGCCATCTCACATTGTCCTCATCTGGCCTTTCCTGGGGGCAGGTGCATGGAGAGAGCAGAAGTGAGCTTTCGTGTCTCTTCTTTCAAGGGCCCTTCCCCCATTATAAGGACCTCAACCTCCTAACCTCATGACCTCATGCCCCTCTACCCCCTAGGACTACATCTCCAAATACAACACATTGTGGGTTAAGACCTCAACATGTGAATATTTTTCATCTATAATGCCTGAATTTCTATTCTGGGTCACATTGGCTTGTTCCCCACTGCAGCTCTATTTATGGAGTCAGTCTGGTGACATGTACTTACTGGAGTCCCACTATGTGCCAAGCACATAGTAGGTCCAGGTTAAAGGGGTCACAGTCTCTGCCCGTAAGGCACCCGGTTTAGGCTTTGGACAATGAATTGAAGAGCTATAAGTCTGGATAATGAATGATATAAAATTAACTCAGAAAACTGTCCAGCAGGGTGGATGGCATGATGCCACTTGGGACCAGAGACCATAAAGACTTGTGCTTCTCTCCCTGCATGTCTCTGGGTCTGCTAAGGATGATGGGGATCTTTCCTGTCCCCATCACCCTCTAGACTAGACCCTAGAGACACACCTGCACCCTTCGCTGACATCCCTACAGGACTCAGGCAGGCTGAGCTCTGGCCCTTCCCTTCTTGCCCAGCGACCCTGGGCAGTCTGCATGCCTTGTCTTCTGAGCCTCGGTTTCTCATCTTAAGAACAAGGTTCCTGGGTGGTCCCTATCTCCTAGGGTCGTTGTGTTGATTTCAGAAAGTGAACCCTCCCTGCACATTTGAGATATCTCTATAGCCCAATCATGGGAGTCATTTTTGATGGGATTACTCTTGATATGTGCAGCCTGCCCCTCAGCAAAAACCCAGTTATTAAATTTGCCACAAGTCTCATAGAGTAGAGAAGCCTGCAAACATTTGTAGTTGCCTGTGTCCTCAGCTTCGTCACCCACCACACTGCCCAGCCGTGACTCACTGGCCATCAGAAACACCAGACACCATGAGCATCGGCCGCACCACATTCACCGAGCTTTATAGGAGCCAGTGCAGGAGACTGGGGCTGCCCAGCATCCCAGGATCTGCCCCCAACACTGCTTAGCCAGCACCCACCCTCAGTGTGCACAGTGGCCAGGACACCTGGACAGAGACTTCTGCCTTGGTTTCCTTGGTCTTTGACACCATTGAATCATGTGGACCTGAGGCTTGTGGGCCCACCCAGCCCTGCCCATCTAGGTGCTACCCCAAAGGTGAAGGAAATATTGTGCACAAAAGAGATGACCCATTCCTGGTGCATGTTTGTCTTGACTCACTGGGTTTCCAAAGAAACCGCTGGGGGAGGGCAGGCCACGTTTCCCGCCTGGGAGCACAACCAGATATGAACCCTTTGCTTGCACTGGGTCACCAGGAAGGTCCCTCTGCCCCTGGGATCGGACAGCTGGCCCTGTGAGTGGGTCGTAGAAGCTCCCGGGACTCCCCTTTCTTGCACCAGCAGGCCCTAACACTGTGCTGCTCTCCCCACTCCAGAGTGGCCGGACTTCGTCAACAGCTACGCGTCCTGGTGGTCCTCACACGTGCTGGACTGGCTCAAGTACGGGAAGCGGCTGCTGGTGGTGCACTATGAGGAGCTGCGGCGCAGCCTGGTGCCCACGCTGCGGGAGATGGCCGCCTTCCTCAACGTGTCGGTGAGCGAGGAGCGGCTGCTGTGTGTGGAGAACAACAAGGAGGGCAGCTTCCGGCGGCGTGGCCGGCACCCGCACGACCCCGAGCCCTTTACCCCAGAGATGAAGGACTTGATCAATGGCTACATCCGGACAGTAGACAAGGCCCTGCGTGACCACAACTGGGCCGGGCTGCCTAGGGAGTATGTGCCCAGATGATAGGCCTGGCCCTCTGCCCTCCCACTGAGAGCAGGGCACCCCACCAGGCTGCGCCCACACTCAGGCCAAGCTGGAGGCCACACCTGGGCTGGACAACAGGGAGGCTGCTGGGAAGCTGCTTCCCTCACTTTCAGGGAGACCCGGACACGAGCCGTCAGTCCACCCAGGCGGACACAGTGTTGTAGGACAGACAACTGCGAGCTCTCACAGAGACTCCACACTCACAGTGCCCGTATCGACACACCTGAGTCACTGCGCAGGGTGTACCAGGCGCTCCCAGGCTGGCAAAGGCATTTCACGTGGAAGCAGGCACGCAGATGCCGGGTGGGCGCCGCTGCGGCTGGCACACACAGGCACACGTGCACCCCGGGCTCACGGGGGCCTCCTCTCCTGCCTGCAGCCCGCTGCCACTTGCTCATCAGGTCCTTGACTACAGAGGATGGGCTGGGCGGGTGTTGGTGCTGTGAGGGGCGAGGACGTCAGCATGGGGTGGGACCATGGACCACTGCTGCTGGGCCCTGTAGCCCAGCCGAGTGTCTGACACCTCATAAATGTGTGTGGTGTGACCACCAGGCACCACTAACTGCAGCCCTGGCCCACTTCTTTGCTGATAGACCAGCGGCACTGAGGGTAATGTGCCCCCACTTAAACACACCAACCCCAGGACCTGCCACAGTTCTGTGAACCCCCTGTCACCCCTTCTAACATGAGCGCTTCTTGGAGTGGGGCTTCCTTGCCTGGCTTCTTCTGTCCCCAGGAAAGCTGGGGCTTCACAACATGCCCCAAACCAGGGTGTGTGGGACAGAGGACAGCGATGGGGTAGGCCACCAGGGATGCCTGAGATGTGAGGGGTACATATGCCAGAAGGCGTGGGCTGGCCTGGGGACGGTGTGGAGGTCCCAGGAGGAAGGGGGTTTGGGGGTTGCTGTGGCTCCTTACACCACCCATCTCAACAGGTCCCTGTTCTCCATGGGTTCTGCTCTGGGGTCATGAGGACGGGGGACTGCATGGCCCATTAATGTGACCCTTGAAAGAGAGACTGTGGCCTGGGCTTTTGCCCGATGCCCTGCCTCTGTGTCCCCTTGTCACTTCCTGTCACCAGCGTCTTTACCACACCCTGCTCTATTTCCGCGAGACTGACATCTTCACTACTCTTCACCCATTTCCTCAGCTAAAGGAGAAGGGCCCTCACAGATGTCCTGCCTGCTGTGTGCAGGCTGTGAGGACAAGACAGATAGGGAAGACCCCCCCACTCCCCACTCTCCCACCCCCAGCTCACAGTCTAGGGGTTGCCCCAGTGCTGGGTGAATTCACAGGGGGTCGCCCCTGGGCCAGGGGAAATTGAGAAGTTACAGGAATTACAGCAAAGCCAGGGAGGATTCTGGTGCGAGGTGGAGGGGGAGGTGATGACAACTGAGGCAGAGAGAACAACATGTGCAAAAGCTCAGAGCTTGGGAAGCCCTGAGGTGGTGTTGCAGAACAGGTAAATGGGGCGTGTGTCTCTGAGTCTGCAGCGGGAGCAGGGGCATGGGTGGGCCAGGACACACAAGGGAATGCTGTCCCTGTCCATACGGTCACTTAGTGATTCGTCAGCCTGGGAGGTTACAGAGATGCTGGTCCCAATGACCTTCTTAGGTCTACCTTCACTACCTGTCTTAGGCTCAGAGTGAAACAAGACCAGGGGCTCTGATCTGGACATGGAGGTGGCTCTGGGAGCACAGCCCAGGGTGACCAAGATGTAGGGAGGCGGCCAAGCACTCAGTTGTCCCATGACCTTCAAGTGGGAGGAGGGTGGTGGGGCAGGACTTGGACGCCTCTGGGCCCTTCTGCAGTTGCTGTAGGTCTGGGTGACCCTGCTGGGTCCTTGGCTCCTGCCAAGCTGCTTCAAAAGGAGAAAACAAGGTGAGAGTTGGGAAAACTCAGCAAGGGGTTCCCTGACCCTTGCTCCCTGGCCAGCAATGGGGAGCTGAGCACCACCCCTGTGAGGGCAGACAGGGCTTGAAGGCCGGCGGGGATGTCCTACCCCAGAGAGATGCCTCCTCAGCCTTCGGTTCTCACAATGAATGGACTTGAGCATCTGTGGCCCTGGAGACCTCCACGTCCTTCCTAAGTTTCCCCCAAGCCCAAACTACCATCACCGCTGTCTCGGACATTGCTTGGCTCAGCTCCCATGGCATCGCTTGGCTCAGCTCCCATGGCATCGCTTGGCTCAGCTCCAAGCCAGATACTCCAGGTTCTTTGTCAACATTTATTGGTGCAGCAAGGCTCCGGGGTCAATGCCCTGATGAGGCCATTTCTCCTGAGCTGCAGCTGCAGTTGAGACCCAGGAGGTGCTTCCACGCCGCATGGAAGGGGGTGCAGGGGATGCCGGCATCCCAGAGCAGACCTGTAGTCTCAAAGGAGCTCATGGCACCGAGTGATGGGGTATAGGGAGGCTGGCCTCCCGGATTCTGGCTCCCTATTTCTGGTCCTCACTCTTCTGACCACCCAGACAGCCCTTGGGGAGAAGGCACAGAAACATATAGGCTGGGGAGAGCGGAGGCGTGCCTGGAGAATTGACTGGGACTGAAGCTGGGGCACCATCCCCTGGGCTCCTCCTACCAGGAGGGCAACCCACCAGCTGGCTCCTCCTGGTAGATGGGTGGGGACATTCCCTACTGCCGGTTACCTGGAGAACTCCTCTCCTCCCAGGTGGAGTGCCACCTTGCAGCTTGGCCTTGCAGCTCCCTGTGCAGCTTAGCCAGGCATGCTGGTGAGTAGTGTGACAGGGTCAAGTTGCCTAACTCGTACATCAAGTTAGTCCATATAGTCAGACACCTGGTACCCAACAAGGAGATGCAAAGGCCATGGGGCTGACATCACCCAGGTGACTCCTGTCTCTGTGGGGGATCTCAGAAGCACAGGAGGGAGTCTGTCTGTCCTTTGGGGAGAGCTCATTTGTCCCTCCTCAAGCTAGGTCTCATCTATAGCTGTCAGCTTTTCCTTAAAGGGAATACTGTTCCAAGCATCCAGGGAGTAAATCTGTGGATGGGGAGAAGCATGGCCAATGCATCAGGAACCAATCAAAACAGAACAGTAAAACCCTGACTGTCTACAGACTCCAACTTTGCTAGCAAGGCTGCAGAGTTACACAGACCTGTGTTTGAACATGTAATTTTCATGGATTTCATCTCCCGTTATGGATCAATTTGGAAAAACCAAAATATATAATTTAAAGAAACTAAAACACACTATGATAATCTCAGTGATGTGTAAATGAGAGAGAAGAATAGACAGGCTTCCAAACCCTGGGAAGAAAGCCGCTTAATGATGTGAACATCTTATGAAGTCTCTTGCAGCTAAAATTAGATTTTGAGTGCATGAATATGCAATAATGTTTGCACACCAGAATGCATTTTTCCCTTAAAAGTGACAGGAGTCATTTGGTTCTTGGGGGCCCAAAATGGGAGATGGAAGAGCCGAACTTGAGCCTTATGCTGCAAGAATTCATGGGGCATAGGCTTGTTTTCTTTTGATTGGAACTCCTTGGAGGCGCTTAGAATGTGATGCCTCCAAAGTGGTCCCTTCCTATTTAGGGAGAAATTATTCTGAACCCCCACTCATTACCACTCAATATGGGAAGAGTTCACCTGAGCAAGGTAGAAGTAGAATAGGGGCTACAGATGAAGGGCTTCATGATGGTCCCAGCTCTGGTCTACTACGACCTTGAACAAAGCCTTTGCTCTCTCTGGTCTCAGCTTTTCATCCACACCAGGAGGGATGGGGTAGAGATATTGTTGATTGTGTCCCCAATGCGCAATCCCCCATTTCCTTTCCCAGCAGACCTTGATTTTTGTTTGGGGGTTTCATGATGTGGCAGAGCTGATTCTAACACTTCCAGGAGTGAACACACGATCTGGATTAAGTCAACAGCACATTCCATCTCCGGTCAGATGTGGCGATGCGAGCCAAGGCAGTGCAGCCGGAGGCAATTTCAACAGTCTTTCTGGGAATGTCTTTATTCCGCCTGCTGCATGTCAAAGTGGAAGCAGGTTGTCCTGGGTCCTGGTGGTGGCCGTCTTGGACATGCAGGGGGGCCACTCTCAGCATGAAGCCAACCCTACTGAAGGGAGTGTGAAAAGAAAGGAAGATACCAGGTCCTTGTGACTTTGGTCCAGGGCAAAGCTTTGCCTGCGACTGGCTCTACCTCTGGACACTTTTGTTACATGAGCCAATAAATTCCCTTTATTGCCCAAAGAGGGTTGAGTTGAGTTTTTGTTACTTATAGCCCAGAGCAGTGTATAAAGAGCTGGGGTTGAAAGGCCCTGGGGCTCTGACATTCTCTGCCTCTGTCTAGTATAGATAAAGATCAAAAAAATTCAGACCAATATAAGCTGGTAGGATCGGGAAGTTGATTTTTATAGGAATGGGGCTGGGTGTGAAATGCTTAATAGGACATTGTGTTCAGTCTGCCAGAACCAGTAGCATTTTTAAGTTAGTACATAGTGAGGTCATACATATATCCTCAGAAAATAATTCCTCTTGATTGCCCAGACTGGACTGTCAATTGTCCCATTTAATCCTTCACAACCACTTTGTTTTTTTTCTTTCTGCTTGACAAATGAGAGGCCTGGGATGCCAGTCATTTGTGTAATGACTACAAGTATGGCCGGATTCTGTTTATCACAACCCCTTTCACGGAGACTAGGATGTGGCGCTGGGAGGAATGCTTTGTAAGCTACTCAGACAGGAATGAGACCCCCTTCAAGGGACATGTGTGGCTAACAGCTGACAGTCAGTGAGCTGCCTTGCAAGGGCGCAGGTGTGGTTAATCGCACAGCTTTGCTTCTGCCAAGTGGCACATGCGAGTTTGGGGTGAAGCAGAATTCCCACCATTGAAGGTGAGCTGGGGTGATGCCACTGCGAGTTCCCCTCCTCTGAGCTTCCCCCTTTAACCTACTGTGTGCTAGAAAGTGGAGGGACACAAGGGGTTTTATGCGGGCCCTGTCTCCAAACTCTCCTTGGTTGTCTGACCAGTTTGCAGTGCACCAGGATGATGGCCTGTGTGGAGAAAGCCAAGGATCCCCAGAAACTGAGGTGAGCACACTTGTACATAGTGCTTGCTTTTGCTATGGCAGATAGATCTGGGGCCCCTCGCTGAGAACTTCTGTGCAAAAACATTGCAGAAATTGGGATTCTTGCCATGGGAAAGAGGAGCAGATCCACCCTAAATAACAAGCATAATTACTTGCATATCATGAAGGATCTTGATCTCAACAAAAAGTAGAAAAAAGTGCAGTCGATGTTGTCAGGTGAGCATGAGCTAAACGAGTTAACTTTCGAAGGTGTCTTCAGTTCTTGAAACGTTCTTTTCCGTTTCCGGCATCAGCAGCAACAGATCCACAGCTCTGGGTGGGGCCATTGGGGATTAATGGCAGTAAACAGTGTTCTTACAGGTCACAGGGTTCCATAGACATCACCCCATATGTGCTGCAGGGAGGTAGTCACTATCATTTTCATTTGGGGGGAAGAGAAATCTAGTGAGACTGAGTTGCCAAAATTTCAGTCCCTTTATTTTACAGAGGAGAAAAATGAGAGTAGGAATGGGGATGGGTTCCCAACGAGGTCATGCTGGGAGAATGAGTGGAGGCGCTAGGGTCAGCACGTGGGATCTTTCCACTAAACCACCTGATTGCCCCACACTGCATCCCTATAACTCTTTAAGGAATTGCTGGAAATGAGGCAAGTGTGCACATTCAGTTCATTTGGAAGTGACCCCATAAATTTCACTGCTAATTCTTTGCCAGAATGCTTTTTGGTGGGCACCTGAGTTCAATATCAAGGGCCATTTATCAAACATCCCCAATACTTGAAAACCTGCTCAGAGGGAGCAGGCCTTTGCAAAGGCATGATGAGTTAGAGAGATGAATCATAACTTGCTATAAGATAGAAGCCCAGAGTTTTCCTCATAAGTCACAAGCATCCCAGGCAGCAGAAAGGCCCCGTTTCTCTAAAATATTACAGCCAAGCATCTTTGGTGGGCCTGAGTCCAGAAGTATGCACATGTCTGTGAGTATGTGTGCATGCAGCTGAGAGCTCACACCTGCACACGCACAACTGCCCCTCGGGTGCCCTGCCGGCCATCCTGAGCATTGCCAGTGATGAGTTCAGCTTAACTCACATGGATAACTCTGCCCCCACAGTTAGAGCTTCCACATCCAGATGACAGTAGTCCAGTCCCCCCTTGGAAGTCAGGGAGGAAGCCTGGAAGAGCAGAGCAGGGATGCTAGGCACAGATGCATCCCTCCCTACCCAGGCTTCAGCCATCAAAAGCATATCATGAGACATGCCCAAAGGTGAGATTATACCTCACCAGAATCACCTGGGTGAGCTTTCTATTGCTACATAACTAATTGCACAAATCAAGCAGTCAAAAATAACACACACGTACATCCCACTGCTTCTGTAGCTCAGGAGTCTGGGCCCTGCTCCACTGGTTCTGCTGCTTCAGGATCTCTCTAGGCTGCAATGAGTTTGGCAGCCAGGCCCTGTTCTCATCTGGAAGCTCGACTGGGGAAGTGTCCACATCTACACTCACTCATATTGTGAGCAGAATCACGTTGCTTGTGATTATAGGACTGATGTCCCCAGTTCTCCAGTTCATCCACAGTTTCTTTTCGGCCTCTCCTAGGCCATTCACAGTGCTGCCATTGGTTTCTTCAGGCTGGTTGGAGAGTGAGACAGTCTTATCATTATCACAGGAAGGCCATCCTTTCACCTTTATCATATTCTACTGCTTAGAAGAAAGTCACAGGCCCTATCCACATTCAAGAGTAAGGCATTCAAGAGTAAGTTCATTACATAAAGGCATGAACCCCAGGAGGTGCGGAGGCATCGGGGACCACTTGGGGTCTGTCTATCATAACGCCAGTAAAGAACAAGTCCAGAAATCTGTACATTCTTTATGGTCTATAGAGTCCACTGAATACAGTGGATGTTTTGAAGAATCATCCAGTGGCATCAGGTTATATCCATGTCATAATAATGAGTTTAGGGCTAATGTCCCCAATCCACTGTGTTGACATTAACAGCATCATTAGGAACATTGCCAATTCATATTGGCCACATCTCTACTCTTTAATTTATCCCATTCAGCCTTGCCTTTCACTATTTGGATTCTTTAATTTTAGGATATTATAAAGTATCATTGATTTGAATGTTGCCACCTCTTTCCTTCTGTAATTCCTCATCCTGGCGTTCCTTCATATTGATGTTGGAACTCAAAAGTCTAGTTTCGACATGTCAGTACTTTTTCCATATTTTAATGTCTCACTCCCATTGTTCTGGGTTCTGGGCAAATTCTTCACTTTTTTTTAATTTTAGTATATATATTTTACATCATTCTTCCTTTTTGTACTCTGCATGGTTTCTCCTCGCAGGTGTAGTGCCTGCAAAATTCCCATTACCGATTCACCTGTGCGCCATATCTTCACTTTAAAAAAAAAAAGATTTATATATTTATGCATAGAAGAACTGGGGTGTAGGCCAGAGGGGTGGGGGTGAGAGAATTCACCAGAGACGGTGGGGAACAGAACAGCTGGGTCTACCGAAATACACTGCTGAGGGGAGCAGCAGGCAAGACAGGAGAGGTCTGCTGCACCATATGTGGGTAGCTCCCTGGTCAGGGATCAACCTCAGGCCATTGTGGTAATAACTCTGAGACTTAAGCCCTAGGCCACCAGGCAGCCTCAAATTCTTCACTTTGACTGTCAAGAATTATCATTTGCTTTTCACTGTGTACATTTCTTCACAAATGTGTACATTTCTTCTGCCTTTTATTCCTTATTCTATAACAACCTTAATTTGTTTCATGTTTGATACACCCCCATAAATCCCCATATATTAAAAATAGGTATGTAAATATTCTTTACTGATTGCTTTATTATATTGAGTTTTTCCATATATTGAGTTTCATGTCTCTTTTGGAGTTCTGTTATCATTAAACTTTTGGGATCAGGCCACCTCCTGATCTCAAGTTCCAACTCTTGGTGGGAAACACCCACATTTCTGTTTTTCAGAGTTTGTTCAGATCTTCTCTTTTCAGACATGACTATGTTATTGCATGGGTTTGATTCAGAGTGAGGAGAATGGAGTTAGTGCCTCCTCCTTAACCTGCCCTTACACAGCCCAAATCCTCAATGACCTCAGGTGACCTACAGGCAACAGACATACTGATGTGTAACGAGAACTGGGTTCTATTCTAGACGTTATCTAGAACTGATAAATCTTTTTTCTTCTGCATGGAAACCTCCTTTTTGTTTTGTATTTCAACCCCCATGGTATAACACAGAGACCTCCCCCCACTTTATTCTCCTGAGAACAATAGAGGAGGGAGAGTGTTTGAATAAGTGGCAAGGAGAGGAAGGATGGAAGATTTCCTCTCCTGGACCTCCTTTGTACTGTGGCCAGGCAGGAGAGGACAATAATTTCTCTCTCAGCCCCACTCCTCAGGTTAAGGGCAAGTGAAGTCCCCCTCTCCTTGGGATGGGGTAAGGGTGAAAAATGCAGAGATGGAGTAAGGAGGGTCTACTAACTAGACAGCCTGGACCACCAACCCTACCCCGATAGCATCATAGAGCCTAAAGCTCACTGTATTCATTTTCTATCACTGCACAGCAAGTCACCCCAAACTTGGGCATAAATTAAATTCACAATTTAAAACGTTCATTAACTCAGAGTTTCTGTGTATCAGGAATGCAGGTACAGTTTAACTGAGTCTTCCAGCTCATGGACTCTGATGAGGCAGCAATTAAGTAGTTTCATAAGAAGGTTCACTGGAAGTCATCATCATGGGCATGATTTAGTTCTTTGTGGGTTCTTGGACTGAGGACCTAGTTTCTTGCTTCTCATTGGCCAGAGGCTGCCCGTGGCTCCTTGCTATGTGGGTATCTCAGGTTAGCTTGTCTCATCAGGGAGGGAAATTTCAAAGAGCTGGAGAAGCATGAGCAAGATAGGAGTCACTGTGCTCTGTAACCTATCTTGGAGGTAAATCCAATCACCTTTATTTACTGCATTTGTTAGAAACAAATCATTAGATCCAGCCCATATCTTGGAAAGGGCTTTTACAGAGCATCTAGAGTTGAATGAGTCCCTCGCCATCCACCCTGTGTCTGTTCCCAACAGCCCTCTCCCCTGCATGGAGTCACATCACAGCCTTCAGCTTCCTCAGTGATGTTTTCCAGACCCAAAGGCTTGCTGGCTCCTGTCTTTATCTTTTTAGGAGCTGGGACTTGTTT